TTCTCAGAAAACTGGGAATCAATCTAACACAAGACCTAGCTATACTACTCTGAAGTATATACCCAAAGGGTGCTCAATCATACCACAAGGACACTTGACAAGCTGTGTTCATAGTAGCTTCATTTGTAATAGCCAGAACCTGGAAACAACCTAGATGTCTTTCAACCAAGGAATAGATAAAGAAAATAAGGTACATGTACACAATGAAGTATTATTCAGCTGTTAAAAACAAGGACAGCAATAAGTTTGAAGGCAATAGATTGAACAAGGAAAAAAACCATTCTGAGTGAGGTAACCCAGACTGAGAAAGATGAACCTGGTATGTATTCACACATAAGTGGATATTAGCTGTAAAATAAAGGACAACCATGCTAAAATCCACAGCCTCAGAGAGAGTAGGTAGCAAGGAAGGTTCATGGGGGGACACCCAGATCATTCTGAGAAGGGAAAATAAAGATTTTGTGAGTGAACTGAGGGGAGGTGGGGGTGGGAATGTGAGTGATCATGTTAATGTGAGGGGGTGGGAGAGCATTGAAAGAGACCACCCTTGGGATCAGGCAAAAACTGGGCATGAGGGAATCTCCCTAGACTCTATACGGATGACTCCAGTGAATAATCCTAGCAATAGCAGACATATAGCCTGAACTGGCCATCTCCTATGACCAGATTAGTGTCTAGCCCAATTGTCATCAGAGAAGCTTCATCTAGCAACTGATTGAAACAAATTCAGACCCACAGTTGGACCTTAAGCAGAGTTTAGGGAATCCTGTAGAAGAAGAAGAAAAAGGATTACAGGAGCCAGATGGGTCCAGAGAACTCACAGAATCAACTAGTCTTGGCTTGTAGAGGCTTACAGAGACTAGACCAAAAACCAGGGAGCCTGTGTGGTACTGTGTTGTCTGAGGTTTTCTGTCCTGCCTGGTTCCTGCAATCATTAAGTCCCAAAGAAATCACACAGAGGTCTACATTAACTATAAACTGATTGGCCCATTAGCTCAGGCTTCTTATTAACTCCTATAACTTATATTAGCCCATTGTTCTTGTCTATGCTAGACACATGGCTTGGTACCTTTTTCAGCAAGGCAGTCACACCTTGCTTCTTCTGTGTCTGGACTGGGACTCTGGAGGAATGGGCTTTCCTCTTCCTAGAATTCTACTGTTCTTCCTGACCCACCTCTTCTTCCTGCCTGGCTACTGGCCAATCAGCGTTTATTTAAAACATAATTGACAGAATACAAAACATTGTTCCACACCAGTACTGATCTAGATCCTCTGCATATATGTGACCGTTGTGTAACTTGGTCTTCTTGTATGTCTCTTAACAGTGGGAACAGGGGCTAACTCTAATTCTTTTGCTGGCTTTTGAGACCCTACTCCTCATACTGGGTCACTTTTCCCAATCTTAATACATGGGAAGGTGCTTAGTCTTATTGCAACTTGATATGCCATGTTTTGTTGATACTCACAGGAGACCTGCTCTTTCCTGAACATAAAAGGAGAGGAAGTAGGTTTGGAGGTAGGAAAAGTGTATGGGATGAAGGAATGAGAGGAGAAGAGGGAGAGGAAACTGTGTCAGGATATAAAACAAACAAATTAATTGATTAATTAAAAATTCAACTTTTATTTATGTACATTGGTTCTTTGCCTGCATGTATGTCAGGCCATTACTTGTGTACCTGGTGCCCATGGAGGCTTCTTTATGTGTCATGACCTTCAAGGCATAAGGACAACCTTCAAGTAAATGAGGATCTCTTCCTAAAACTGGGAGGAACAGTATATTCAGGACTTTCTTGGTGAAGCTTAGAGGCAGTACTTCTGGGAGAAGCCATAAATGATTCATAAAAAATTTCCCATCAGCTCAGTATCCTCAAGTTGTACAAATTTTAAATGTCCCCCAAGTATGAAATAGGCAGACATCAATATCAAAAGCGGCACAGTGGCCATCATGTGGCTTGGCTTTGCTGAATCTTTGTCAAGCAGCCACACTGCTTTCATGACTTTTGCTATTCCCATCAGATACGGCTGTGCCAATGCAGGGAGCATGTCCACCAGGGGATGGGAGATGCAGGGAGTACACTGTGTGACCATGAAGAGCATGTCCTCCAGGCCTAGGAGATGCAGGGAGTACACCGTGTGACCATGAAGGATGCAGGGAGCACACTGTGTGCACATGAAGGGCATGCCCACCAGGGCCAGGGAGCACACCGTGTGAACGTGAAGGGCATGCCCACCAGGGCCAGGGAGCACACCGTGTGACCATGAAGGGCACGTCCATCCGGGCAAGGGAGAGGTCTAGAAGAGTTCCTATCCTCACAGCACCCAGGAGGAACCAGTGCTGCCACCATTTGACCAAGGAACTCTGAGATGCCTGGGTCTTGGCCTCCCCCTCCGGAATTGTGAGACCACATGCTTCTACTGTGCAAGTCACAAGTTTATGTTCCCAGCAGCTAATTAGCAAAGCAAGACAATATGTCTAATTCCTTACCAGCACACACTGAATAATTGAGGATTGTGGTTTAAGGAGGGAAAATGACAGCAAAGAGTTTGGAAGATATCTTTGCTAAAAATCAGAATATATGACTTTGGGGAAAAGTTGTGATAGCTTTTTGGTAAACACAGTGATATACTCTAGGGTTTCAGTACTTCATTTGAAAGGAAATTGCTCTTTTAAAAAGAGTACGAGGGGCTAGGGAGATAACTCAGCTGATAAGGTGCTCACCTTGCAAGTGTGAGCATGAGAGTTCAGTCCCAGAATGTTTCTGGAATAAACCCTGGGTCTGGAGGCACCTGCTTGTCATACCGGCATTGGGAAGGCAGAAACAGGAGGATTTCCTGAGGCTTGCTGGCCAGCCCCAGGTCAGTTAGAGTGGACAGTACCCAAAGAACTACACCCACGCTTGTTTTCTGATCTCCACCTACATGTGCACATCTGCATACACACTGACATACACACACACATACACACACATATAGGCACAGACACATAGCACACAGACAGGCAGACACACACATGGGGGAGTGGCTGGGGATATAGCTGGGTACTATGACGCTTGTCTAGCATGTAACGTCCTTGATATGATCCTTAGTGAAAGAAGATGCATTCTCTCTCTCTCTCTCTCTCTCTCTCTCTCTCTCTCACACACACACACACACACACACACACACAGAGTCTGTTTTTGCCTCTCCACTTTACCCTCTCCTTGGTAGCCCATAGCTTTAACCATGTAAGAGACAGAGGGAATATCTTTGGCAAGCACTCTGAACCGTGCCCGAGGGGTTAATTAGAGTCTTTGGTGGGTCATGATTTGTGCCCATTACAATGAGTTATTTTTGTCCTATGGGCAAAATAGCATTTCTGGGAAAGCAATTATTTATGTATGCAATAATTTACGGTGGTAGATGAGATTCTAGATGGACAAGCTTTGTGGGGGTAGGGTGGGGGTGTCTGCAAAACATAAAGTGGACCCCATAGGGGAAGAATGACTTATTGCACATACATCTTAGCTTCTCTTCCCATGATTCCTTAGTCTTGAAGTTATGCCAGGACCAACTATAGCCCCAAATCTGCATTCATTATTGACCCTATTAGTTAAGCCTTAGGCTTTTCAGTGAGCTTTTGTATTGCATTAATGCCTGCTTACATAAAGATTTACATCTAATGAAGCTTGGTGCCGCCCTTTCTGGGCTCTTTATCCTGTCCTATCTAGTCTGGAGCTCTCCCTTCAACTCTGACTGTGTTCACATTTCCAGCCTCTTCCTCCAATGGCTCTTGCTCCTTGTAGTTGTTAGAAATGCTCATTTTATGAAGATCCTAAAATATCACCTAGTGGCCCTGTAGCATAGCATAGCTGCCTGCATTTACAGCGCCACCGCTTCCCACCACCAAATGGAGTATTTGAGGGCCGGTGGGTGTCAGACTTGGTTGAACATCGTAGGAAGTGTGTTGTTTCTGATCTCTAAGCTGTCATCAGCTCACTGCTCTAGGCTTCCCATCACGACTGCGCTGAAGTGCTCGGCTGGGAGCAGTCAAGTCTCCACACCCGCATCACTCTGACCTTACAGCACATCTCCAGCGCCAAAGCAGAGGACCTTGGTCTGGGTCGGTCGCTACGAGCACCTTCTAGTCATGCAAATTGTGTCCATGTGTGCTCCATTAGGGAGCATTACTCTGTTAGCCGACTTAACACTGGGATTAAAAACAAAAAGAGTTTGAAACTCCCTGCTTTAATTTAAAATATCTTGCTGTTTATTTCTATAGACAATGAACTTTTAACTTGACAAAATTACATATATAAATATATATATAATACAATATATTTTGAAATATGTGTGCATTGTGGAAAGTTATATCAAACTAATTAGCATATATATTATCTGATATGTTGCCCGGCCTGTCCGTCACTTAGACAATTTCTAAAACCCATTCTCAGCAGTTTGCAGATGTATAATGCATTGGTGTCAACCATGGTCACTCCGTTAAGTTCTTGAATTTATTTCTCACGTCTGATTGAAAGTTTGTATTTTCTCCCATCTTCTTTCCTCCTCATCAACTCCAGGGGACTCCATCCCACTCTTTATTTCTAAGTTTAATTCCTTAAACTAATATATATATATATATGTATATATATGCATATATATATAATATTATGCATCAGTTATTTTTCTGTGTCTGGCTAATTTTACTTAACAAAATATCCTTAAATTCCATCTATGTTTTCACAAGAGTAGACTTTCCTTCTTTTTTAAGGTGGAATAGTACTAACCATGTGGACACCTCCTTTCTGAAGTTGGTTTCTGTGGGAGACCCATACCACAAAACATTAGCCTTTTGAAGGATTCAGATAATAATGATAACCACGTTAATTTAGACTCTAAGGCTCTAGTGGCGGCGGGACCTGGGGGGTGGAGCCGATAAGTGAGCCGACTAAGTCTCAGGAAACAGCCAACTTTACTTCAGAGCATCAGACGGTTTATACTCTGGAGCTGCAGCGGTCACGTCACGAGGAGGTGAGCAGCCCTCGGGAAAGCGGCCTTTCTGTAGGAACAGATAACCGTAGCCAGTTCTGAGGTAAACCCACTCCTTCTGTTCCACTGGGGAGGGGCACACAAGCACAATCCACGAACACTTCCGTGTTTGCGAAGAAACTGAGATCATGAGACTCTTGTCTTATTTTCTTGGAGTTTCCTCACAAGCACCCAGAATTCCCCTCACAGGGCTCCAGTCGTGGGCCGCGTCCAGCGATGGTTTCTGCTCTGCTCACCCTTCAGTGTTTCCATCACGGTTTCCCTTCCTCTTCTGTTTCTGTCCCCTGTTCTCTGGTGTTGGTGTCTCACCATTTTAAATCTTTCTTTACTTTTCAATATTTGCTTTATTTTTGCATCTTTTCTTGTTATTATTTCAGACTAATTTTAATTTTCTCTCTTTTTCTGCACTGTAAACACGCAAACTCTTTCATGTTATTGCTCTATTTCTTGTAATACGTTGTTTGCTAATTTATTTTTGGCTTTAAGAAGTTCTAGACATGCAAGCATTTTTTTTTTCTGAGAAAGAAAATGACATGGACATTTTTTCTCAGCAACTGTAGGTGAGATGTTCTTCTCCATGGTTGTTTGTTGAAGTTCAGAATGCTCCCTTTTGCTGCAGTATTGATTTCTTGAAGGAAACAGCCTCCTCAACACCTCAGTGTCGTGTTTGACAAAGTTCTCATCCAACAGTGATTATGACTTGTCTAGAATGGACACATTTGATATTAGAATTCGACACCTTTTCCCATTTTCCTGTATCTTATATTGCCCCCCCCCTTTTTTTTTGTGAGAGCCAGGCATTCCCACGTCGGTCCTGCCTGAGACTAACTTTGGGACCAGCAAATTGCTCACCATCAGGACACCTTCTAGAGATGCATCCAAAGCCCTGCTTTGTTGGAGGGATTCCAACAAAGAGCTATGAGAACCTTGTGGACTGCTGTCTTTTTACAGTCCATTCCACAGTGACCTGCTTCGCCAGTGAAGTTTGACCCCCTCCCTGGCCCCACCCCGTTCCTTGCTCCGCAGCTCTGTGGGAGCCTCCAGATTGTACGATTCCTCCTCCACTCTCACTCTCCAAGCAATGCCTTTGCCGAGATCATCACCACAGGCATCCTGCACTTCTCCTCCTTTTTATAAAAGCACCCAATTCACCTCTAGACAAAAGAAAGTAGAGCCCACCGCTCTCTGTTTTAGTTAGACCATGAAGGGAAACATGAGTCTGGGGCATAGTCTTTAAAAATAGAATGATGAGGTAACTTAAAAATGATGCTATATGAGGAAGAGCTGAGGGAATAGGTTAGCCTAATTCTAAAAGGGATTTAAAGGAAGTTGGCTTCCTCTTGGCAGCTATCCCTGGGGCTGCCATGGTAGAGGAGTTTGCTAACTGGGGCAGAACTAGACTCAATGGGCAGAATTTGCAGGGTGCCAGCTTTGACTGTGCTCGGGGAGAAAAACAATTCAAATATGAAAACTTAAAGCGCACAGCCTGCTGCTTCAGAGCGGACCGCTAAGACCTCTTAGCAGACCCGTGGCCAAGGGAGGGAGGGTACTGGGCTTTTTGTCTAGTCTTCATTTTTTTTTTTTTTTGCCTCCAGTCTTAAATTGCATTTTCAAAAAAGTAAGTTTTATTGCATACTTTTTGGGGCATGCAACATGATGTTTTGAGATATATGGACACGCATGTATAAATACAGTAAGGAGGATATTGTTGTGAAATGATTTAACATACCCAACTGATCTGAAGAGCCTGTTGAAAACTGTGTTGCTTTAAGTGAGCGTTCCCATCTGCTTTCTCTCTTTGGATGGTGAAAGCATCACCTTTGCTGATAAGCCTTTGAGATCACTGGTCCCTGTTCTCCTGTTCACTCTGGTTATTTTGTAGAGGTTAGGATCATGCTGGCCAAAGGCATGAACCGTGGATTGGAATCATTTAGAACTAAACCATTAGATTTCCAGAGACATACTTAATCCCAGTCTTTTAGAATGAAGTATAAATAATTCATAATAGATAGGCAGTCTTAAATATTTAGTAGGAGTTTTGATAATTGTTACATCCACGTAGTTAGTTCCTGGCTTCCTTCATGCCCCTGTTTGATTTCTTCCTCAGCAGCCCATCCTCACAGATGAGTCATTTTGTGAATTCTGTAAAAATTAATTAGAGTCATGGGCTTTGGGGCTACATATAAGTGGAATCATATGACTTTCTTCACTCTACACAATATTTTGGAGTTTCATTATGTATTCATTTCAGGTATCTGAAGGTAGCTCCTTTACATTGAATTTTATATGAATACATAATTAATTCACTACACCCTCCAATCTTGAACCTTAGAGGAACAATGCCAAATTTTCACAGAGGAATTTTAATTGTGTAGGAAAAGCTTCATATTATAAAAGTACTGTTATAATTTTATTGCTACCCATTTTTTTAGAGAAGTAAGGAGAAAAATGATATGCAGTGTAAAATACGAATGAAAACTGAGTTCATGGAAAGTCTTCGATGACTCTCAGAGTCTTCACAATTTATGATTTATCTAATTTGCCTGAGATATTGTTTTGTTTTAAGCATAAGCAGATTCTGTCGAATGCCCTGGAAATCTGTGAAAGATTAATAAATAGTTCAGTAAAATGATTTTCAGAATGACTTGAAGAAATTTACAAATCTATTGTGATTCTCACATAAATTGAAATGTCTGTATTAGTAAATTGGCTCTAAATATACAATGTTATAGTAAAAGTTGAATATTCATTACCATTTTAATAATAGCCAAATAGAACCACCTTCCTAGGCAATAATAAGATAATTTTAAAAATTATTTTTTATTAGCTGTATTGAGACATGGTTGACATTCAATAATTGAGAGTTATTTACAGTATATAAAATCTGACACATTTTCACATATTTTAATGCCATGATACTCTTACCACCACCAAAATAAAAAATGCGTCTACTGTTTCCACCCATCCCTTTAACTTTGTAAACTATATTTAACATCTAACCAAATGTTTCTCTCCTCTGCTGTCTCTTCCCTAGCCCCAACTGATAATTACATTTTTATTTTTTATTTGTTTATTTAATTATTTTGCTATAAACTAGTTTTCACTTTGCTGACGTTGTAGAGACAGCACAGTAGGCTGTGGACCATGTCTGTGATGCTAACATAAATAATGATTTTTGGTATTACATGAGATGTACTTATAATTTCAGGTAAACAACATGACATTTTACAGAATGACCTCAATTAAATACACACAAAAATAACTTTTATATATATAGAAAAAAGTGAAGAGACATTGGAATGATTAATCATTAGTGAGGATATAGGATTATGGGTAATTTAATTTTTGCTGGGCTATATTTTCTTAATCTAGCATAATAAGAATAAATTATTTTCAATAAAATGCAAAGAAAAAAGTAATTTGTGACTTTGGTGATCCGTGCACACAATGAGTTTTTTATAATGTGCATTTCCACTTGGCCGAGGGAATTTTTACTTGAGAATTTTCACTGTGACTAGTTAATAATGTGTCCTCTGAGCCAAAGGAAAAATTGAGATAAAGAAGCACTTTTTTTCTGGAAGTGTTGGAGAGTCTTGGATATTAATATAATTTCTCCGAGTAATCATCTTAATAACGATGCTATGTAAAATAATTCCTCCACTATCTGACTTATCCTTCTGGAACTGAACTGAAGGCATTATGTGAGCTCTCCTGGTAATGAAGGTCACAAATCACAAGAAAGAATACAGGCAGAGAGGATTAGGACAGAAAGAGCCGGAGCCGAAACTCCACATCCCTGTTATAGTGAATCCTGAAATCTGACAAATGTAAGCGGGTGAGAAATGGTCCTTAATGAATTAAGGATGAGCTGATTTCCCCTGGAGTTGGTGGGGGGAAAATCTTTTTTTCCCTAAAATTCTAGCAAAAGTAATATCCACGTATAAATTACAATAATTTGTTACATATAACAGTATTATAATCTTTCATAAATAATGTCCACAGGAAAGGGTGATTTTTATTCTTGAGTTCTACGTGAGATGTCAAGATACCGCATAAGACTGTAGTATGTACAGTACAAAAGGTTGTGAAGTATAATGCTTTTATATCTCACCTAACACAATAGTGGTTTCCTAGCAGACCTTCTGAAAGACACAGAGAGGGGTGAAGGATATTCTGTGCTCTCCTGACATCAGTGCACTGTGTGTTTCTAAAGCAAGTGTCTATGTTGAATCTCAATAATGTAGACTTTTCACCTATGTGTACACTAGGGTAGGAAACGAGAATGATTCCACAGATCAATACAGTTACAAGTTTCAAAACTAGTGTCTGGGTCATTTAATAAAAGAAGGGATTGATTAAAACATATGAAAACCATTACCCCTTTTCTCACTGATTTTCAGTCACACTGTGCTTTCCGGTTAGCGTTGGGTTGATATTCTAGAGACAGTTTTTCACAAAGCAGGAATCTCTTCTCCTGTGTTCATGTTTCAGAATTAGGCAAGGTGAAGACTGATTAGGAAGACTCTGACAATATTTCAGAGACTCCTAAGGCAGGCTTTCCTTCCTTAACTGAAGTCTCGATGGGTATAGACAATATGACATCCATCCTCAAGGGCTTAGGTTTTACTTGGCGTGGCTGGAAGGGTGTAAGTTGAAAAGTGTGTTACTGGTTGCTGTGGGAAATCCCGGTGCACATGAACACCTGGTTGTAGTTTCGTTTTGTTGTAAATATGTGTCAGAAATAACATATGTAATAATGTATGTAATTAGAGTCTGTTCTTCTTTACAAGCCACCCACTTATTAAAATCAATGCAATAAAAGAGGAAGAAACGGTAACACAGTGCCGTAACGCATTGATGCTTCTGAGAGCTTCGTTATATTTAAATAGACACAAAATTCTGCAGATTTATATTTCCCCCTCCCCGAAACCTTTCTCTAATGGAAATGCTATTTCTTATAAAACTCCCTTAGCGGGACGTGATACCTGTTGAAATCTTTCGCTGTCATAAGCTAGCATGAGCTGAAGATGTCTCTCACTCCGTGCGCCATGTCTCGGAGCATGAGCATAGGTCTGAGTGGTGGTAGTGATTGAATGCCTCACTGCTGTTACACAATAAAGCTGTTGTCGGTACGAAATAAGATAAGGACCTCCCGGAAATTTGACTGTGCTCCTCAAACCCCTATTTTATACCTCAAAATACAAACTTGGAGTACAATTAGTGATGCATAAATTTCTCGTATGTTTATATTTCACTTTATATTTAAGTCAATGATCTGATAGCAATTCTTGAAACTACTTTACGCTCTTGAAAAATATATAGACATGTATTTTATTAGTGAAGCTATCTTATTTGCTACCCGATGTGCTTTAAGTGATTTTTAAGACTAATATATGAATACATAAAGTATATAAAAGACATGAGTATATATTTATATATATAAGATAGACTAGAATAATCACTTGTGTTTGTGCCTATATGTGTACACGTTCGTGTCTGAGTGTATGCTTGTGTGTGCACATGTGTGTGCATGTGGAGGCTGGAGGAGGGTGGCCTTAGGTGTCCACAATTGCTTTTCCACCTAACTTTTGAGTGAAGGTCTCACTGAACCCGAAGCTCTGAGATGACTAGACCTGGATGGACCAAAGAGTCCTAAGTATCCTCACAGCAGCCTTCCCGGACTGGGGTTATGGCGCTGTGACACCAAGCTGGCTTTTACATAGATTCTGGGGATCTAAACACAAACCAGAGCCGTCTTCCCACCTCTCATGAATGATCTCAGTATATAGAAATCGTTTTATCAAAAGTGATTAAAATTGAATTCCTAAATTACTTAATTGAGAAGATGTCTACCAGTGATGACCAGTATGATTAATAACCAGAGATCATTGTTTGGAAAGTATTCTTTGACTCCAAACCTAGGCTTGCACACACGAAAGGGAAGCAGCAACAGCGCTGAACTACATCCTCCGCGTTTGGTTGTCTGTCCTAGCTGTCTGGAGACAGAGGCTCACTGCATCTCAGGCTGGCCTCCACCTCCTCATTGTCTTGTTTCAGTCTTCAAAGCTCTGGAATTGCAGGCCTGTACCCCATACCCAGCTCATACTGTATTTAAAAAATAGTTACTGCTTATGAAGAGAATGTCCATTGTAATTAAAAACGATGTGCTTTTATTTTTCAAACACAATAATTTAGTTCAGTTTCCTCTTGATTGTTTGGGGCTTGATAATTCACTTTGCATATCTTCAGGCCCCTTTCTCCAGCTGTTGTAACCTTCTGTTCACATCAGTGTCCTCTTGAGTGTCCTGGGCAGGGGGAGGTAGACGGGTTATGTGAGAAGAGACATAAATGAGCTGAGTCAGTGGTTTCTGTGTTCGTGTTGGCAATGAGTTTTCTCTGAAGCTCTTAGTTAAAATAAGGTTTTCAGTGTACTCTTGATTCTAATTTATGGTATGTGTGTGTGCTTCATTAATTTAGGGAAAAGTAAACTCAATTAGAAATAAAGAGAGAGAAAGACAGTGAGCAACTTTGCAACCAGACCCAGTGGGGTTCAAATCCCAGCCCTCTGTGGCAAGCTTTACTTTATTAGCCAGTTCCAGTAGAATAAAATGTCTATGGCAAGGTTCTTAGGAGAAGTAATAATAGCCCATGTAAAAATGTAGTCTATAACATATTTACAACTTTACCCAGACGTGCCTTATACTTTATTAGAAAATATTTTACATCCAAGTTTGCTTTCTTGGAAACACTAAGATCACTAGATAAACTGTGAAAAAAAATCTCAGGATTATCAGCAACCAAATTTATAATGAATATATACCATAAGCCAGTACTTTTCTAGTTATGTGACGCTTGGAATTCCAACACATCACAGAGTCCTCACCAATTTTCCTGAGTGCACCTTGTCATAACTGGGAGTCAAACCCATGGGAGAGGGTTAAAAATCGGATTCTACTGCTCCCAGCCTCCTCTTTTCAGTGTGTGTCGCTCTCAAATAGTCAGGAAAAAAGAGTTCAGTATTGGGGAGATGGGTCAGGCAGGAGATTACTTCCCACACAGGCCTAAAACTCAAGTTCAGATCATCAAAAGCAGACACAGCACCGCATGAGTACAGTCTTAGTAGCAGCTAGGTGGGGACAGGTGGTCCCCGTTTTCTCTGATCAGCCAGTCGAGCTGAAGGAGTGAGTTTCAGGGTCAGTGGGAGACCCTGCCTGAAAAATTCAAGTGGAGACTGGTTCAACAAAAGAACTGACAACTTTGGGTCTCCACACACATGTGTAACACATGCATATAGACAAGTACACATGAATCTGCACACATATGTACACACACCACACAAACACACTTGTACACACATATATCTGTATACACACATGTATATACGAACCTGCATATACCTGTACATATACACTTGCACACGCCTGAGCACTCCACACACACACACTTATTCATGCACACATGAACCTACATACACACACACCACATAAACACACCTGAACACACACATATCTGTATACACACATGTACATATGAACCTGCATATACCTGTACATATACACTTGCGTACGCCTAAGCACTCCACACACACACACTTATTCAAGTACACATGAACCTACATACACACACACACACCACATAAACACACCTGAACACACACATACCTGTATGCACACAAGTTCATATGAACCTGCATGCACACACACACTTGTGTGAACCTGTATACACATATTTCCATACCTGTAAACACACTCATTCATGCATACATACACATACAAGTACACATGAACACCCCCCCCACACCTGTATGCACAAATCCACACACACATGGGTACACACATGCATGCACAAATACAGACAGGCACACATGAACCTACACACACACACACACACACACACACTCACTCACACATATCTGCATACAGACAATTTATAGATTCTATGGAGTAGATGTGGTTGTGATGCTGTACTGGCTTTGTAAATTTTAAAAAGTGGAGTATTTAAATTAAGTATCAATACAAGAAAACCTTGACATTAAAAGCAATTGAAGAGAAGCAATTGAAGAGAAGCAATTGGTGAATGCTCCTACCTTGTTTTTTTTGAGCTGCTTCTTCTTCTTCTTCTTCTTCTTCTTCTTCTTCTTCTTCTTCTTCT